TTCAATGAGCGTAGTCATTGTGTTTTATATAAATATAATACAATATAATTTGAGCCGTTTGCAAAGCTCATTTAACATGCTTATCGACTGCAGATTTTTGCTAATGGTTTGATGCTTCGAGTAGTGTTTGTTAGATAACAAGCAGGGCTATTGAATCTTATGTATTCATGCGTGAGCAAGGCTTAAGCGAAAGTCGTCGTCTGTTCATTTTTCAAATTTTATTAAATATGTTTTCATTCGTCGTCAGCTGTCATCTTGTTTTATTTTAAACCAAATTGACATCTTTAACCAGATATTCGGATTTAACACTTTTTATTTTCTTTTCCATAGTCCAGATATTCCTTAATCTATTTTCAAATTTTAAATTTATTTTGTATGTTTATTCACATTCTGAAATTGTGTATAGTAAATGAAATGTTCAAGCTAAACTCAGAAATAATAAATAAATTACTGATACGCTGCCATTTTACCTGAGCCAAAAATAACAAACAATAAGGATAAGGATTACTTGAGTATAAATAAAACTCCTTCAATGACTGCAAGTAGTTTATGATTTTCATCGTTACTATTTAATTGCATTTTATATCCATAAGGTATGCATACCTTTATAGCTTTTGCGCTGCATACAGTATTCATTGGGATTATATGCTTTTGACTATATCTGGTAGTATCAATTGGTTTGTTTTTGGAGTTGTGTTGATCTGCATTTTTATTTCACTACACCCTTATTCTATTAAGGTTTCTCTCTAGTTTTCCTATTAGCTATGCTTATATGCAAAGTTTACACCTGTTCCAGTTGCTCTTTAAATATGCCATACAATAAACTGCATGTTTTTTAAAGCTTCTTTAATATGTGCAGTTTTTATATAAAACTTTAAGACTGCAATGAAGTGCAGTTTTTTTTTGGTTTTACTTTTTATTTGTTTTCTTTTTACTTTCATCTCGCGCAGTTCTTTATGCACTACTCTGTCATTTTCATGCAGCAAAATCTCATTATTTTTTTTCGTGGCTGCGCAGCTTGCCATGGTTTGACTATTCTCTGGCTGCAACGTGCACCTAACCTAAACCCCGAGTCCATTCAATAGAAGCATTCCAGAGCGTGTTACTCTCTACTGGCTTCTCTATACTCTGGGTGTTAGAAAGTGGTTCGTCGTTTGCCGCTTATCAACTTTTTCCACATAGATTTCCCAGAGAGGTTCTGTGTGTGCTTCTATATAATCTGGCAACTCGCGTAGTCTTGCAGCATATTCATTTTGTTTGCTATTTGCTTTATTTATTTTCCTTGGGATTTATGTTTTTGGGTTATGACGCTTGTCTTTGATGTTGCTTTATATATATATTTTTTTGTCACAGTGCCTTTAGCTTGCCTTTCCACCATTTTTTCATTAGTTTTCATTTGCTTCAGTTTGATAACACTGCGCGCAGCTAGCTAGTTTTTAAAGCCTTTTCAAATTCTATTATGCGACAGCTTTGCTGACTAATGAAAAAGTGGAAGACAGACAAAAAAATAAAAAAAAACAAACAAATGAGAATGAAAAATAAAGGATGCCGTCTGCTCTGTTATATGAAGACGAGCAGTGCGCCCAAAGCTATCGCTTGAGAGCAACTCAAATGGGATATCTTCTTCTTCTGCATTTTTTATCTTCTTTAATGTAATTAGTTGGTGCCGTTTTGGTTGCGGCTTTGCCTAATTAAGTTGTAGACTTGGCATAGTTTTGACAATGGATTAAGGCGAAAATGAAGGCAGACAAACAGTTGAAGAGAAATTAAAATGGAAAATTTAAGTACATTTAAGTACTTTTTTATACTAAAAATAGTTAAATATAAAAGAAAAGAATGCTAAAATATTAGAAATTTAAATTTATAATTAAAGTAAATATTTGGTAAAAATAAATAATAAAAAATATTGAATTTCTTAACAGAAGAATAGATTATAATTTAAAAATATAATATGCCATTAATACAGATTATTATTCTTACCTCATCGAATATTTGTCTGAAGTTCAAGTCTTTCTTGACCTCACAATTATTTGAACAGCAAAAGCGCATTGTCTTAACAAAAGCCAATATTAATTACTCCAATAAAGAATATACTTACACACCTAATTCAAAGACTCCGATATTCAATTTACTGTAGCACACTTTGTGGCTAAATGTGAAGCTGAGCTGTCGTAAGGAATCAATCGACGACTGCTAACTGCAAGGCAGCAGCTTATCTTAAAGCGACTTTCAATGGCTTACAATGGATCTGTAAGATAATTTTGTGGTCAGATGATGCTATTCAAGTAGTTGCAAGTTGACCACAAAAGCTACAGCACATGGCTAAGCATCTTACAAGCAAGCAAGCAAGCATTTTGGTCGAGTCTCATTCACACACACGCACTCCTGCCACTGACAGCTGCCTCAATGGCTTGGCAGTTCACTAGCCCTTGCTGGGCTGGTGTTGCAAGTATCTAAACTAGAATGTTTGTTTAGAGAATATGCTTGCTCTCACTCTGTATAGCTGCTTTGGGTGCTCTTTCATTCTTTCATTTGCTGCAGCTGGATAACTGGTCTCGGACTGTTGTCTAGTCGTACGTTTGTGCATGCTTTGCATGCCACTCGACGAGCACAAGCATAGAGGGAGAGAGAGACATAGAGTGACGCCCACGCCAGCCTGCTGCTGTTTGTTGTATGACATATAAAAGTCAACTTGAATGCGCTGTGTAAATTTAGCCACCCAGCATTCACTGCTGCATTGCATCTCTGTGTGTGCGTGTGTTCTTTCTACACTGTTGCAACTTTAAGTAGTTGGGCGTGTGTTGGTGCCAAGGAAATGGTTGCATTTGAAAGGAATTTGCCTTTACAAGATTTTACTCTTTGCAATTTACACGCGCCGCGCACTTTTCCCACTACACACATACATATACATATATATATAGCTATACACAAGTACATGTGTATATATAAAGTATATATAGTATATCACTCTGTGTACATGCATTTGCTGATATGCGCATGTATTGTATGCATTTGGCTTTTGTAAATGTTGCTTTCTTATTACATGGCATTATATCGTGTCGTAGTTATACATATATATATATATATATATAAAGCAGTTGTTTGCTGACGTTTGCTGTTTCTTGCAGGATGTTGTTTGCCTCAGTTGCAGCAGCTAGAGCAGGCAGTCAGCCAGCCAGGAAGTTATCTTCAGGAAACTACTGAAAAAGCAACAAACTGATTATTTTTTGTAGCTTCAACTGGGCAGGCTGTTTGCGCTTAATTAGCAAATGTGAAAAGAGATCGTATAACTGCATTTTAGCTATGAGAAATTATTAAAAATTAAGCAAGGAATATAAATAAATTTAACATGATTTTTGTACATTTTGAATTTAATGGAAAAAATTGACGAGGGCTTTGTATAAGAAAAAAACGAATCAGATTTGTTTTTAATAAATAAATATAAATATATAAATATATAATAATTTTTTTATAGTTTTATGTACTTGAATGTTCTTGTACTATATACTATATAATAAATACAGAGGTTTCAATAGCTTATTTATTTAATAATATAATATCAGAGCTCCCATTAGGCAGTATTTCGTCTTATAAAATATTCATTCTATATTCTAAGTTCCTTTGCTAAATGTGTTCTCAAGACAATATAGAAACTATATTCCTCATTGAGCTATTTCTATCTCTCTTCATGACTTCATGATTTATTCCTAACTCTCCAGAACGCTTCGAGCCCATATCATTTCATCAATTGAAGGCCTTCACTCAAATGCCTTTCATTGCCTGATTTGCCAGATATATTGCTGCTCAAAACCAAAGACAGCATCGTTCAAAAATCTCTCAAAATGTTGACCATTAAACTCTGGCACTGTGCCCCTAGGGAGGGACACACACACACACACAGACACACACCAATGCAGGCAGCTACTACATGAGTCGCCCACTTTTAGCCCCGAGCCGGCCAACTGGTGCTGTTGTTGGCATTCAGTGTCAGGTTTCTATGGCTCAAGTGTTTGCATTTTACAACCGCACACTTGCAGACACTCACACATAGAGCGTCGAGTGTGTGTGTGTGTGAGTGTGCGCGCTTCTGTGCTTGTGCGTTGGCATTTTGTAGAAGAGTTTCTAGCACCAGCTTAAGTGAAATGTAGCTGACCTAAGCTACAAAATAAACACAAATGCAATGCAAACACATGCACACACCAACACACACACACACACACACAAAGACTAAAAAGCAGCGCACGTAGGCATGTTAAAGGACAATGAGAAACGCAAATGTCAGTGCACATGGCGTACAAAGGGGAGTGAGAGTCAGAAAGGCTTGCAGACGTAGTGTGTATATGTATGTATGTGTGTGTTTGTATGCGAGTATTGTTTGCTTGTAATGATTGTCAAGGTCGCCGTCACAGCACAACCATCGTTTAACTAATATCATTTCTTTTTTGGCGTTTATTTGTACTAATCCAATTTGCAATTTGCCTCCCAACTTTTCCCTCAGGCAGGTAAACAATAAACAGGGCAAAAATAGCTAAGCAGAAGAAAGAGACAGTGCGAAAGAAAGAAAATAAATAAGAGAAATCCAAGTGAACAATAACAGCAACAATAAGAACTCTCACAGCAATAAAATATATTATATATCCTTATATATATTCATAAATATATAATATATATATATATATATATACAAGCAATTGAAGGAAAGTAGCAAAAAGTAACAAGCAAGCAACAGCGCATATAATAAGGGAAGAGGATAATAATCACGTGAAATTATCAAAATATTGGAGAGAAAAAAATCTAAGAAAGACAAAAAGCAACCGTAACAGGAGTGTGCCAGATACAAACACTCACACGCACACACACAGACACACACATAGTATATAATATATATATATATATATATATATATTCATATATATATATATATATATATTTCACCTTTATATATATATATATATATATATACATATATATATATATATATATATATATATATACACACACACACACACACACACACACACACACGCACTCAGAACAACAGAGAATTCAGAGAGAAAAAGCGGCATAGCAATAAGTAACAGAGGATCATGCTCAGCTCTCTGGACGCGCTGGCTGGCAAGATAGCCAAAGCGACGCCGGGCACTGGCGCCGTGGCGGCCAATGCCACAGGCAATAAGCCAACAAACAATGCACATCATCCGGCGCATCAGCATCATGGTACACGGCATCAGTTGGACTATGATTATTCAGCTGTTGAGATCGAACCACCTGCCGAACAATTGGCTAACTCGCCGCGCAGCGAACGTGAAAGACTGCAGCAGGCGCAACACGCTTACGAGCAGCAGGCACAAGCCGAACTTGAATTTGGCTTGGCCGATGTGGACACGAAAAGTTGTTTAACCCTGTTAACGCATCGACGTAGCAGTCAAAATATGCACCTGCTCAATCATAATGGACAGGCGGGCAAATCGAATAATGTGCATGCAGCTGCACGGCATCAGCAGCAGCATTATCATCCCTATCAGCGGCCTTTGCGGCCAGTCTCACCTGTGGTGCAGCAGCAGCACCAGCAACAGCAGCAGCAGCAACAGCAGCAGCAGCCGCAGCAACAATCACAGCAACACAGTCCGCAGTCGCAGCAGCAGCAGCAGCAGCAGCAATCGCCATATCAGCAACAGTTAACACATTTGGCCGCGCTGCAGGATCATCACCAGGAACTGCTGCAATCACAGCAGGAACTGTTCCACAAACAGCTGATCAACTTGCAACAGCAACAGGAAAGAGAACGTCAAGCTGCCGTTAATTATAATGATAGCTGCAACAGCGACCACGACTCACAGCAAGAATACAAAATTTGCCTGAGGGATAGGTGAGTGTCTGCCACGCCCACAGACTAAAATAAAACAAACAAAAAAAACCAAAATAAAACAAATATATAAAACCCAAAAGCCCAACTCACTCTGATGCACTTAACGTTTCATTTTGAAGCTGTCTTATCCCACGCCCTTTGCTAATTAGTAACCTTTTTATAAGCCATAATCAACCACTCGCTCTCGCTCTCTCCCCTCTTCCTCTCCCTATTTGCGCTATTTTTGTTGTTTTCTATTTATTCCAGACATTGCATGTTTGCATGTACTTCACTCACTCAAAAAAAAAAAAAAAAATTGTTTTTAAAACAAACTTAATTCATTAACTAAAATCAACAAGCAAAACCTTTTGAATAGGGCTGGGGTAAGTGAGGGAGTTGCGGCTGCCTGTTGTTTCGCCATACAGTTAAAATGCATTAATACAAATATATATATGTATGTATTCAGTGAGTTGTATGTCATACACATGGCTGAACAGGTGTGCAAAGTGCACTTACATTTCCCCAGGTACTGCATATCTGAAGGCACTTGACTTGCAGTAAAAAGAGTTCGAATAACTCGTTCATTAGCTAAAACATTTATTAGCTTAATTTATTTTTGAATATTGCACAAACGTTACTGTGAGGTTTAACAAGAGTTCATGTATTTAAGATTTAAATCAATTTCATTTCAAATTTTTTAATAATTTTCTGTACTGTTTTATGGCTTAAATAATGCAATTTAAGCCAGCTTGTTAGAAGTTTCCCAACAATATAAAATCTTGAAATAACTGCCAGATGAATTATTCATCGTCTTTAAATATCAAAAAATATTTTTAACTTAATGATAAATTTTCACATGAACAGATAATCTCAATGACTCACAATTATTTTATGCACATTATATTAAAATATTCTCGATTTTATTTCAATCACATTTATCATTAATTCCATAGATATTTGACGTATAATTGAATTGTTCATAATATCATGCAATCTAGGCAATTGTTAAATCTTTGACAAATGCACCATTTGCAGTTTCTCAACCGTACTTAAAGACTTGTCAATTCATGTGGATAGTTCGAATAGTTCGTTTAAATATTATTGGTCTTTCATTCATTTTCAATCGCTCATCGCTCACATGATTTAATTCAATTTAAATGCCATTGTGAGTTAAATGGTTAAATGTTAACAATAAATTATTTTTGCAGTTAAATGCATAAATGCATAGCTTTTATGTTTTATTTATGAGTTAAGCTTCCATTGCATATGTGCAGTAAATGAATGATTATTAATTACACGCACAAAGACATATTTAAGCTCAAAGTTATAGTTGATAAGATATATTTAATTTGGTTTCATAATTATTAAGGGCATTTCTGTACATAGAAAATTTTATATTTTAATTAATTTAGTTATATGAACATTTTTATTCTTTATAAAAAAATACATTAACAATTAAAATCATTTTTAATATTTTTAAATATGTTTATATATATGTAGAAATATTTTAACAATTTAAAAAATGTTTTAATATTTTAAGCTCAACAAATTAAAATTTTTGTCTTAAATATTTATTAAATAATAAATTATAAATAATTTCGCATTAAAATTCTAAAGAACTGGGCTAAAAACCACTTGTTGAATGTATTCAAAATATTGAGTGTACTCAATATTCCACTCCATTCATTCATTCATTTGTTCTACAAATCTTTTTGTAGTCTGCCATGTTTTGTTGTGCTCTAAACGTAAACACAAAAGAGAAATACTAAGAACAAGGTAAAAACGCCCCAAAAAAAGCGGAAACGCCTCAAAGCATGCAACAGAATTTTGTGTGACTCGAAACAGTTGTAATTTGTTGGCTTTGCCTGGGCTCAAAGTAACAAACCAAAATGTCACAGCAACAAGAGAAACTCAAAGAAATTCACCTGACAAATTGCTGCTGGCCAAATGTTGTAACAACGTCTCAAGCAATGAAATAAGAAAGTAAGTGAGACAGCGAGAGAGAGGGAGAGAAAGGCATAGTAAGAGATGGAAAGCCAGCTGAGTCAGTAACATGCACACACGCACACACTCATGACATTTAACTTTATTATACCTACACATGTTTGTTTGTGCATTTTATTACTATGACTCTTAACTAATTTAATGTATAATAACATTTGACATATTGTTTTTCGTGTTTCGCTTTGATTTGTGAGCGTCTACCTGTATGTGCGCGTGTGTGTTTGAGTGTGTGTGTATTCAACCCTTTCGCTTTATGACTCCCAAGGCGAGGCAGTTGCCCTTGTATAGCTCTTGCCAGAACATGTAGCTCTTGCTAGGTCTTTTTCACACATGCAAATATTTTTGGTTGATTGAGCGTAGGCGACGCTTTGACTCTTGTGCACCTAACTCAATTACACTGTGAGATATATGTAAGTGGATATAATATATGATATTTACATACTCATAGCTTAAAAACATTTATAAAAATCTATATTTAATATATATACTAAAATATGTTTTAGAAAATATATTCAATATTCAAATGTTTACAAAAAAAAAATGTTAAATATATTTATATATTAAAAATATATAAAAAAAATTTTAAAAAATATGTATATATAATATTATGCATTAAAAAGAATTTTAAAAATATATTTAATATGAAACAGTTAAGTGTTTTTTACAACGCTTCTTAGCAGTAAAAAAATTATTTAATTAAATTTTAAATATACAGTTTTTTTGCACTACTTATCCTCTTAATCCCTTTTTTTCTCGCAGTGCATTTAACCTATGTCTCGCTTATTGTTTATGCATTGTTTGCACTGAAACGCAAAAGTTTTCATTTATTTTTATGCACAAGATAAAAATGTTCTGAGCTGCGCAGCTACATACCATATATGACATTTTTATTGTTTATTGTTTTATTTTTGTTGCAATTTGTTGTTGACATTTGCGTGCTTATGCCTTTTGGAGAAATGTCGAGCTAAGCGTTCATTGACTTTAAAGCGCGTGTCGTAATGCAATTAGCCTTAAAAGTAGGGAAGTCGCCTGCGTCGGGGCTATCGAAATCAGTGAGAAACGAGGAATTTGCATGTGACGAGGCCAACAGCCAATTAGTTAGCAATACTGAAAGGGATAGCAAAAGTAGATAGAGAGAGCGAGCTGGAGAGGTTAAATTACGAGCTGATGACACAGATAGAGGCGCACAGGCTATACACAATAATTACGTAAAATTTCTATTTGCTGTGCGCTGTACAAAACAAAATGAGAGGCGTCCAGCCCTAGGGGAATTTTTAGGGAAAGTGAAAGCCAGGCGAGTGACAAAAGCGTCACCAAAACAACAACAAATGCATAGCGAAAGCAACAACAATAAACACACATAAACAAACACTTGAAGGTAAACAAAAACTGGATGGTTTTTCATTTATTAAAGTGGCTAGAAATGTGGCACAAGAGAGTGGGTGCGAGTTGGTTGAAAGACGAGCTCTGGACACGTAGGCAAGCAAACATTGTGAATAGAAATTGTTGGGGGTGCATTTATTTGCATATGTGTGTGCACACGAATGATGTTTATACATGTGTGTGTGTGTGTATGTTCAAGCGAGAGATTTAGCCATAGCTAAATATATACACTAATATATGTTGAAATGGTTTCCATGTTGATTCCTGTCTGGCAGATGTAGAGATAGCGTTAATAATTCCGCTTTAATGATAGATGGATGCCTCATGAATTGTAGCTAAGCACTGGCTTGATAGTGATATTGTTGCGGTATCGATTTGTTATCGATAACTTAGCTAAGAACTTTTGTATGAAATCCTATTAAAACAGCGTGTTTGCATTGATTATTTATATAAAATAAATACTAAAAAATAATTATAAAAATAAAAAATTGAAATAGAAATATTAAAAATATACTAAAATATACCCTATTTAAAAATATGCAATTTTACAAATAATAGCTATAAAAATGCAAAAAAAATCGCAAATTTATCTTTGATTGTACCTCAGTCAATATGCTCTTTGAGAGTTAGTGCAATAGTCAGATGCGTTTGCATAGAAATATTGCTGTGCTCATCTAAAGAAATGCCAACCCTTAGCCGAGTTGAGTGCTTGGCGCCTTTTGGCTTTGGCTTTGCATTCTCTATTATGCATGCGAACGCAGCAAGAACAGCTACAATGCAGCGCCCACTCAGCGCACACACACGCACATGCACAGCTGCACACCTGTACAGACAACCTACATTTACACACATAAGCTGCGGCAGCAGCTGCTGCGTTTCATTTCAATTGTTGCAATGGCGCTGTAACCTTCACTTTAAGTTGTAGTTTTTTTTTTTAGCCTTAAGATTGACCAAGCTAATTTACTCGAGCATATTTTCATGGCTAAACTAAGTTTTGCTTAGCAAAAAAAATACAACTGCATATTTTTATCTTAAATAAACTGCTGCATATATAATGTTATTTTTAGAAAATTTCATGCTCAGTGTGGTTTTTGCATAGATCTTTCCCACATATATATATATATATTAGTTAAACATATGTGTTCTGCATCTTTATTATATTTCAAAAATTTCATATGCATAAATGCTGAAATTTTTTTTGTTTTTGTGTGAGGGGCGTGTCTATTTTGCATACGCATTCATTGTTCAAAGCTATTTGCAAAATTTGTTATTTAAATAGAATAGAATAGAATAGAAAAAAAGAACGACAGTTGCATATAAATCATATGCATGAGCAAAGTTTGAATGAGGCGCATGTTTTTTTTTCGACGTATACGTGATATTTTTGCAACAAATATTTGTGCAAATGCGGACAATAAAATTTGTACGTTGTCTTTAGAAAAGGAAAATGAAATGCGATAGATTGGCTTGTCAGGTTGATAAGGCAAAAGTAAAAATACGAAAATATTTATGGGCTTGTCCTAGACTAATATGCTAATGGCCATTATCAATGTTTATAGATCAACAAGAGCTGCATAAAACGAACAGCTGTCAGAATTGTGATTCACACACAATTTTAGCCAACAAGAGTTTAA